AATCTGCTTAAACTACTCAGTGACTAAACATCCTGAGGTACTTTCTTCTCTCCACTCTGCCTCCAAGACAGACTCTCCAGAAAGATCAGTTAAACCAGATCCAGTATTCTTCCTTTTCTCGGGTTAAATAAAGGAGGGAAGAAGAAAACTTAACAGAGCTTTTTCATATATATCACAAATTACTCTGCTTTGTTCATATAAATTCTCTTATAAAGTTATTAATAAACCCTTTCCTTCCCCTAAAAGTTCAGTGTTGCAATAAAACTGTATTTACTCACATACGCTCTGAATTTAGTTCATTAAATGCTAGTTAAATCACAGTGGCAAAATGTGTCCCTTCTCCACCTATAGCAGATCAGAAATTCATGAAAATCTAGCAAATATCACAAACACCTATTCACAAACTTACCTTACTCTAAAACTCAAGTCTATGAGCCCTGTATGATAATAATAATGCAACACACCCCTGGTTTGCCAGCACAAGTCACTGAACACAACACTGTCAAGCTCTGCTCTCTACCACTAACTCTGTAACTGTCTGCCACGACATGAACCTTAAATTGATCCCACGAGATCAACCTTATATTATTGAAACACTGCCTCTCTAAAACACTATGTAACAAAGGCAGTCCACGTGGCATAATGAAAATCGCCAGGTGAGAAGAATATGGCGAATTTGGGTGCACAACGGCAGCAGCTACAACCCATACCTCGTGCACGGCTACAGGAATCTCCTGATGGCTTCACTCACAGTCCAAAATGCTCCCAAAGGCAGCTAAGCAAGGCTACCAGCAGGATTGCATTTCCTACACAGGCATCCACACTCTCATCAGGAAATATTTAAGGGTCCCAAAATCAAAGGCAGATTGGAAAACAGTGCACTACAAGAAAGTACAGGGCTAAATTCTCTTCAGAGCTTCCCTAACAAGCTCTAACAGTCACCATATCATCAGTGACGGAGCTAAATTCACAGCCCACTGGCCTTACTACAAGATGGAAAGGTCAATGCCTAAACACTTGTTACTATCCAAGGCAACATGACATTGGGACCATCACAGCTCTCGATGTCCAAGGTCATGATCCTGCCTAAGCACAAACACATCTTAACAATAAGGGAAATCAAAACAAACCAGAGCTGGCACTGCAGCCTGTGTGAGCCTAATCCAGCTGCACATACAGGTAGCAATCAGGGTACACACTCAGGTCCTGCCTCAGCCACCACCCTTACCATTCATTCCCATTCTGAGGTTTCCCTTTCTTTACCATTTTCTCATTGTAGAACTGTCTTTTAGCTCTTTCTCCTCAATTACTTTGACTTCTCAGCAGCATTTTTAAGGTTCTGTGTAAAAGGACAGCCCGACCGCAGTTAGTTTCAGAAATCATGCAGTTAGGCAACAATGTATCAGACTCATTTAGAAGTTTCGGCCCTGTTTGCAGGAAGACTTCCAAGTAATTTCCCTGTATCTCAGAAGACAACAGTCCATTTCAGTCAGGCTGTATGCTATCCCAGGGCAGCTGAACTGCTTGATTTTAGAATTCCTCCACAACTATTAGACTTCCACCGTCCAGTCCAAGTAATCTAACGTACCCAACTAACCCCCTTGTTCAGGCACCTCCTATTTCTGACACAAAAATTGCTGCCAATACCTTGTCTTTCCTGGCATTTCCCACCCGTGAGCACAGCCCCGTGGTCTGACAACTGAAGCCACAGAACTGACATTCAACATGACAACTGAGCATGAGGGCTCCAAATCAACACCCATACCCAGGGATCAAGAAGCCACACAGCACAAAGTGCTGATCTTTCATATAGAAGAATTTTATTTACATTTATTTAGAAAATGGAAAATGGACCATCTCCATAGCAGAAGGCTATGGAGTCAAATCAAATCTCTTAATAGAAGCTCAAAAGCAAAGCTCCTTCTAACTTTAGCCTCCCAGATACACCAAAACTGAAAGCATCTATCAGCACTCACAGGGGTACACTTCCTATGATAAAGCCGTGGAAAACAGATGTAGTGAATTAATTCCAGATTTGCTATGAAGGTTTTACAAAACTGGCTTTGCGAAAGTAAGCTTCAAAAAAGGCTTTTGTCTTCCTGATAGTGTCTGATTAGCATGAAAACCAGGATCACTCTCACTTGAGCAGTAACAACAAGATGATTCACACCAGAATTACACTCAGCTGTCAGCAACAAAGCCCCTTCACCAGCTCTAATCAGAAAGGCTGCAAATGCACACATTTCTTTATTAAATCTAGTTCAGTACTTGACAGAAGAATCTAACAGAGCCTGTTTGTACAAAATACCAAAAAAACAGATGCATAACATTGTGTGTGGTCAGAACCTGAGGGGGGAAGCAGAGGAATACTTATTTCATCCTAAAAAACACATATCTGCTGAGGAAGGTCTTTCTCAGTTTTCTCTTTAACATTATTGGGTTTCAAAATACTGAATTGCTGACAGCAACAGAGAGAGCACTACAGGCCAACAAGCAGATGAGCAGCACCACACTGGTCACCTGGTTGGCATTCCTTCCAAGTCTCACATGGAAGAACTTCAAGCTCTTTGAAGTAGTTAATTTTCACTTCTGGGAAAACATCATTTTAGCCAATCTGTTCTCTCTCAACAACTCAGCAGAGACCAAACAGAACCTGTGCTTATTTTCCCAGAGCATTTCAGTTGTACCTTTGAAGAAACCCAACATAACTGCTTCTCTGATAAGTGAAACAAGGAATACACAAGTAAGATGCCACCATTCGTGTTTACTGGCACCTGAGGAACGTACTACTCATATATAAGGCAAGTTTGGCAACAACACAGATTTCAGCATTTCAGCTGTTGAGGATTCTTTTCCTAGCTAGGTTTTTTTTTTTAGCTTTCAGAGCCAGGTATTTTTTTTCTCCACAGCTCTGAACAATTAAGATCATTTTCCCATGCTTTCTGTACTTTGGAGTTAATACAAATAATATGCCATCCGAACACTTAATTAGGAGATGATACGAAGAAAAAAGTTCCCACTTACACCCTCAATGCTTTGGGATCACCAAACATCAAAAGGATCGAGAATTTGTTTCTTATTTATCAAGTCTTTAGAGATAACAGAGTCATAGAATCACAGACTGGTCTGGGCTGGAAGGGACCTTAAAGACCATCCTCATCCTGCCATGGGCAGGGGCACCTTCCACTAGCCCAGGTTGCTCCAATCCCTGTTCAACCTGGCCTTAAACACCTCCAGGGATGGAGCAGCCACAGCTTCTCTGGGCAACCTGGCCTTAAACACCTCCAGGAATGGAGCAGCCACAGCTTCTCTGGGCAACCTGTGCCAGGGCCTCACCACCCTTCCTTACAGGGAAGAATTTTTTCCTAACATCCAATCTAATCCTGCCCTCTGGCAGTCTGAAGCCACTTGCTCTGTCACTACACTTTGCCTCTTTGACACACAAGACTATGCCCTTCTGTCTGTAACACCAATATTCAAGAAAACTATGACTTCCAAGTTCAGATCCAGTCACGGTTCTGGAACACCACAAGACTCCAGCTGCAGGACCTGCCCCACGCTGAGTGCCTTTAGCCCAAAACAGTGAGTGGAGGACCCAGGCCAGCAGATTGTTTCCTCCACACAGAGTACAGCTGATGGCTCTGGGAAATCCCAGAACATTCTGAGCTCCAAGGGACCCACGAGGACCATCAAAGTCCAGCCCCGGCCCTGCCCAGGCCAGCCCCATGACATGCCCAGTAAAGCCCCAGTATCGGTGGTGTTACCTCACGCCACAGCCTTTATCCCGCTTTACCTTCGCGGGCACGAGCAGCTGCAGTGGTCAGACAACACACAGGGAGACCCCTGCTCCCAAGGGATAAACCCCAGGAGAGGACCCCAGAGCAGCGAGGGCCAGTTCCCATCGGCAGGACCCAGCCTTGCAGGGCTCAGGAGGGTCAGGTTCCCCTCAGCCGGGTCATGGAATCAAATCAGTGAGGTTGGAAAAGCCCTCTGAAATCACAGTCCAATCTGTGTCTAACACACCACCACGCCAACTAAACCGTGGCCACGTGCAGCCTTTCCTTAAACATCTCCAGGGGCAGGGACTCCACCGCCTCCCTGGGTAGCCCCTTCCAGGGTCTAATCATCTTTCCTGTGAAGAAATTCCTCCTGATGTCCAACCTGACCCTCCCCTGGCACAGCTTGAGGCCGTTCCCTCTCCTCCTGTCCCTTGTTCCCTGGGAGCAGAGCCCGACCCTTCCCGGCTCCCTCCTCCTGTCAAGGAGTAGCAGAGAGCGAGAAGGTCCCCCCTGAGCCTCCATTTCTCGAGGCTGAGCCCCCCCAGCTCCCTCAGCCGTTCCTGCTGCTCCAGCCCCTTCCCTAGCTCCATTCCCTTCCCTGGACACGCTCCAGCCCCTCCATGTCCTTCCTGAACCGAGGGACCCAGGACTGGGGCCGCTTCGAGGGCTGGCGAGGCCTCACGGCCGGTGCCCAAAGGCCGCCCGTCCCCTCACGGTCCAGCCCGCACTCACCCTTGTCGAGGGGTCGAGTGAGCTCGGCGCCCACGTCCTCCCCGGCCGCGCCGCCGGGGCCGGGCTTCAGCGGCACGGGCACGAAGAGCGAGGTGTCGGGGGCGCGGGAGCCGCCGTCCCCGGAGGACGATGAGGACAGTGATGACGGTGAGGACGGCGCTGCCGCGGCGGGGCGGCCATGTCTGAGCGCGAGCCCCGCCCGCGCCGGGAGCCGCCGCAGCAGCGACCACGCGCAGCGACTCATCCGCGGGCAAGGGCGGCGGCGGCGGCGCGCGCACAAAGCGCGTCACTGCCGCGCGCCCGTCCCGCCCCGCGCGTGCGCCGGACCGCTTCACACACACACCCCCCGCCTCCCACAGCGCCCTCAGGGAGGGTACAGCCCGCTGTGGGCGAGAGGGCGGCTGTTCAGCTGTTCAAACTGGGGCGCGGGAGGGCTCCCCCAGTGCCCTCAGGGAGGGCAGCGCTCGCCAAACACACACAGAACCCGCATTTAGTGAGAATGCAGCTGTTTAATAGTTCAAATTGCAGCTCAGGAGGGCTCCCCTGCTCCGTACACATGGTTCGCAATCTGAGGCTGGTTAAATACAATCAGGATTTTCAAAATCATCGTTTCCAAGTTTTACGACATGCAAGTGACCATGAAAATATTTGGCTTTTTTTATTTTATTTTTTTTTACTTTATTCTTTTAAGTTTCTGAACAGGCACTTACATGAGGGAGTTGGATTTGCTCTCGGCCAGAGATATCCACGATAGGAGTATCCTGGCGTAAAGTACACAGAGTCTCTGCTTTATCAAAGTGCCACAGTAATAAAACAGTTCTTACAGAAATGTAATTTGATTATTCACTTACTCATAAAGTAAGGTTACCAATGACACTTGCACCGGCGTTCACCCTAAAGGCCAAGTGAACCCCAAGTTCAAGTCGCCTTCCCCACAGCAGGCTCTGGTTTCTCCCCAGGCCTGTCTGGGACAGAGCCCAGGCTCTGCTGTGAACAAAGGCTGGCTAACTCCTTAAAGCTACTTCTTCAAACACTAAATGCCCATGAGATGATGAGAAAGATAAACAACCTGCTGTGCCAGGCAAGCATCTAAGTTTTAAGGCTGGCCTGGCTTCCAAATACCTTTCCAGAAGACCACAGAAGGCTCATTTGCCCTCTAACAATCCTGGAAGGATGTCCTTGGAGGACTTTTTGCCTCTCCTGTCAGACAGTTAGGGAGACAGACTGTGAAGACAGTGGGATCATGAAGCCGGGAGGAAACACAGTATTTGCAAAAAAATCAGTGTTACCAGCATTTACTTCGTCAGTAAGAGACAACTACTTTCAAACACTTCACCGCTCAACACCTGAAGGTGAACTCATAACAACATACCTGCACAGTCACTAATTACTGGACAATGAACCCCCAAGAGTCAGGAGTGACTCCCGTGAAAGGCTTAGAGAAGTTTGGTAGAGAGAGAACTGAGGGAGGGAGGGCAAAGATGCTTCCATTCTTTGCTACTGACAGATTCGAAGCCTCTTAGAACCCGTGGTGAGGTGGCTGAAGGCTCCACAGTTATCACAGTCATGTACATGCAGCTTTAGTTAAACCCTGTCCAATGTAGTAATTAGGAGTCTTAGGACAAATTCACCGTAAACATTGAGTTTTAGTGTGATTTAGTCAATTGTGTCTTACTGCGGTTTCAAAATAAAACAAATGCAAATAAGCAACATCGGAAAGAAACATGCAATAAACAACATGAGAGAAGGGAAATGCTTTAGTCTACATTGTAGAGGTGAGCAGCAAAAATCAAGTACACCGGCCTACCATGCATGGAAATAACTAGATTTAAGCTGACACATATCCAAGTGCATATAACATTATCAAATTAAAGTAAATGTGCAGTATAAAATAGTAGCTTAAGAAAGTTCCAGTGTTTGAGAAAGCACTTTATTTTAAGTGTATATACATACTTGAAATTTAACTGAAGAATGCTTTAGTAGTATGGGAAACGCAGCACTGCAAGATGAAGGAAGACAGTTGTAAATGGGAATTTTGGCCTTCTTTTCCCACAGGCTGCTGCCATCTTTAACCTGCTGAAGCATTGCAAAGTTTTTCACCTTAGACCAGTTCACATTTCGGGTTGCTCAGCAGATGCTTGTGACTCTGGAGATTCAAATCGCTGGTGAAAGTTTGTTCGTTGTTTCCTCAGCTTCTCAGGAGCTTTTCTCCATAAAATTATTTCCTGTTTGAGGAAGAAAACACTCTTGAAACCATCACTTACCGTCAAGGCAGAAGCATCAAGTACCTTAAGTTCCTGATAAACAAATACCTTTTGGGAACATAAAGAAAAAATAACCAAAACCAACACCCCACAAAAAGCTCTGCATCCCCCCTGCTTAACACTGCAGTTCATACGAAAGCAACAGAAAGACAACACAATTCAGGTTGCATATTTAGTTGCATATTTAGTTACTGAACTGTGCCTGAACACTTGCAATCTTGAGCAGTCACCTCTTCCTTAACTATCCCTATTCCCAACTTAATAGTACTAAAGGGTTCAAGAAATTTTTCTTCCACTTTTTCTCAAAATTCAAAGCCATCATAGCCACTGCATGCTCCAGCTACCTCTTATTTTCCAAGTCTAATTACACTGCCTTGCCTACCCTGTAAGAGGAAGATTTGATATAACCTGCACAGCTTCATTCCAGTGATCCTTTTGGCTATTCCTTTTCTCAGCATCACCTCATCTTTTGTAACATTTGAAGCCAAATGTCTTAGCCCTTATTACAATTTTGCAAATCTGAACCGGGGCTAATGCTGAGAGGAGAACTCCCTCTGCAGCAGTTTAAGAAAACAACCAAACCAATGCATCTCTAGCCCATTTTACCCACAGAGTGTTTTGTACAACAGCCCAGATAATTCTGCAACGAGATTGCTACAGACCATACCTGCTGCTTGAAGTATCGTCTGTCTTCTTCATCCACAAGCACCAGATTTAAGAAGTACCTCACTGAAAATTTTTTGTTCACGTCCCTCATTGTTGGAGTTGGGTCGTAGCCTGCTAAGAACAGTCTTATAGGAATCGATTCACCTTAAAATAAAAAAAAAAACCACCTTAAATTAGTTCTTTAAAACTGGAATAATTAACATAGTTTCAGAACATATGGAAAATAAAGGCAGTTTCGCAAGCAATGTCTGTGCCCCTTCCTTGGTTAAAGAAAAAAAATACACAATGCCCCCCCGAAACAAACAAAAAAACCACCACAAACCAAACAAAAGGAAAATTACAAACATAACGCTGAGCACAGAGGCAAGTATGACATGAAAAGTGGGAATCCTTCCTCACTGCAAGCAAGGTAGCCAGGAAAGGCAAAAGGATCAGTATGTTGAAATTTCTAGAGCTGGCCTAAACCACGGAGTCAGGTTTGATAAAAGGATCAGTCAGAATTTCCAATGGTAAATAAGGGGAAAAGTTACTAGGATCCTAAGTGAAATGCCCTAAGTCAATAAAAATGTCTGATTTGAATAGAAAAATCCACCATCATTTCAGCAACCTAAGAAGTGTGGTTTCTGCAGAAAAAAAATAATTATCTAAGCCATCTCTTCTCCCCCAGATGTTTTAAATACAGTTTTAAACACAAAATGCTTGCCCTTTAAAACAAGCACAGTTACTTACCTTTAACTGGTGCACCATCCATTATTTCATACTTTGCAATGGTTTCAGTCTCTGTTGTGGTGCTGGGTCCTGGTGAAACAAGTTTTCACTGTGAGAACACGTGGTCCAGTCTCAAACATTTACAAAGCTTTATCACACAGTTGCCATCCCAAAGCATTTAAATTAAGGCAACACTGCTGCTTTGCCTTTGTCTTGCACGGGAGTTACACGTGGCCAAAGCAAGCACACTACTAAGTATCCTTGCCAAAGCACTACAGGAACATGGGAGTCAAACCCCAGAGAGAAGGAAGTGCTTGAGGTAAAGCTGCAACTACTGACTTTGCTCTCCAGGTCTGCATTCCAGCACACGAGCTGCCGTTTCGTTTCTCTTACCAATTCCAGTGATCTCCTTTTTGATCAGCTGCAACTCCATGTGCTGAATTTTTATTCTCACTAAGAGGAAATAAATTTTTCCAACAATCACATCCTTTAAGTGATACCTTTAAAAGAACAGAATGGGGGTTTTCATTAAAGACTAAACACAACTCTCACACCTTCTTGAATCCCAAGTTACACAGGTGGTTATGTTGTCTGCCTGTTAGCTTACTTCCCCGCTGAGATCAGCACCTCAGCCAGAGCAGCACCACTCGAGTATTCCCATTGCTGCAGTATTAGCAAAGGAGGTGCTGCAGTCAGACTGAAAAGGCACAAACGCAAAAATCAAGCCTCAAATAGTTGCTAGTGACCTTCCTATCAGTACTGCAGGCAGAACAGACAGGTATTTCTCAGCAAAGGCCATTGTGTAATTAGCACTTTACATTTTAAGTCTCCAGAAGCCAAGGCTGTTCATCCAGTATTACACACTGAGCCCTTTCATCCCCAGTTATTCACCTGAATGTTTTGGGTTGACACTTACTTTGACTTGTTGTATTCAAACTCTATATGGAGACAGTCCTCAATGCCCACTTCCATTTTGATGGAGTTGTTTACATCTGGGTAGGTAGCGAGCTGATGGACAATCAGATCATATTCCTTCACCAAGTCTGACAGACGCCTCACGATTGTCACTTTTAGAAAATACCTGAAAGAAAGGCACTGAGTTACACAACATGATTCAGAATTACCTGAGGTACAGGTATTCTTTGAAATACCAGTAGACTCATAAGACTAAGTAAAAAAGAGTAAGACATCAAAACACAAGACAAAGCACTCATAAGTAGAAATGTGGAAGTGTTTTCTGCAGTTGTGGGTATGCTGGTTTTTTAAAAGGAGAGAACATGGACCGTCTTCACCTGATTGAGCTGCAAGAATTTGATTTATACAAACAGCACTGAGTAATTCCAAATTAAGTAGAAAAGGCCACATTATAACACGATCCCAGCAACTCCAATCAAGGCACACTAATTACTGGCTGATACATGTCCCATTTAACAACCAAAAGGAGGAAGGGGAGGCAGCATAAATGCTAAATTATGGATTTTCTGCAGGGGGGGAGAGGAAAGAAGGTTTAACAGTTACAAACCTCAGTCTGACGTTGGCACCAATGTAGGATTCATATGGCTTTTCAACCTGCATGAATTCAAAGTCATAGTTTCTGCTTTGGGTCAGTTCTCCAGGTAAGGCCAGTTCTTTCACTAAGTTTACAAATTCATGGGTATTGCTTTTGTCATTGAAGAGTTCTAAAGTTAGGAAGTTAAAGGAAAACATCTTTCAGTGTTTATTTTCAGCAAACAAAACTGTCTCTAATTTGGCAGGAGTAAGTGAGAGTACAACAGAAGCAATTAATTTAAAATACACATATTTGATCAAATATTTTGTCCAGCTTTCCAAATTACCTTCAGTTCTAGCAACCCACAGTAAGCATTCCTGAAGGGCTAACTGCAATGAACAGAGCACATGCCACTTGCATGGCATTGTTTTTTAATGACAGTTTAGCTAGCCTTAATAAGCACTTCTTGCCTTGCACGCTCTGTAATTAGCATTGCCTGGTTTTGGCTTCCAGCATTTATTGCTGCAGGGACAAAACCTAAGCAATGTCAAGGCTGGCTCATTTAGGACAGGCCAGCAATCCTAACCAGTCTCCTGCAGATTAACACCACCTATCAAATGGTTTATTGTTACTACTAGTCTACAATCAAATGGCTTTTATGACCCCTGGTCGAAGTCAGTCATTTGGAAATGAGCTCTTAAGACATAAGTGCAGACAGAGCAGTTTCACAGCAACAGCATCTCCTGTCCCCAGAGCAGTGTCACTTACCCATCCCTACATCTGGGTCAGGCAATTCTCACCGAAAATTACCATAAAAATTACCCTAAAAATCCAAACCCAAGCACTTCAGTATCCAAAAATAAGCTTCTCTACAATTCAAAACTGAACATCAGTGGTAGCTGGTTTTACACAAACTGAAGCTTTTCAGAAAAGAATAAATGAACTAAACACACCAACTCCACAGTTTATCATGGCCAATTTGGTAGAAACTAACACTAACTAGGAAATGCTTACTTTTCTAATATGGTCACAAATTATCTGAGGTGTACCTGGTTTGCTATGACAAGCATTTCTCTCATACAGAGTTTATTTACTGCTGCATATCCAATACCTTTTGTGCCAGTCAGGAAAGCTGCTGTACTCTGAGAAGCTGGTTTAGAGTAAGTCTTTGACATGGAGTTAGTCTCCAAACAGTGCAGAGAGATCCCACTACTGCACTGCTTTCTGCATTACTATATGAAAACTCGGAAGGATGAAAGAAAACACGGGCAAGCACAAAAAGCAGGAGCTTAAACCACTTCTGCATAACTCCATGGACTTCTAAATGGTAGCACAACACAAAGTCCCAGAAACACACAAAATTCAAGAAACACTGCATCAAATTCAAGTCATTTAGAGAATTTATAAATCAGAGTAGATGAAAAACAGTCTGTACAGCTATTACAAGACAACAGATTAAATGAAGCTGACATACATGAGCTCTTTTTTTTCCCATCTGCAAATGCCTCATTCCCATCACAGTCCTGTTCTATTCTGGAAGTTTGCTTTTACAGCTCCCTGATAAACCTCAAAGCATAAAGCAGCAGGAGCCAGTACTCAGTCACACCTGCAGTGCAGAGAGATCACCTTGACTGGTAAGAGGTTAGATATAATAAAGATTCCCCATAGTTCAAATCTGAGCAGACTTAGGTACAGTCATAAACAATTTACATTTTTAATGTCAATATCACATGATCTCACTAAAAAGCACAGAAAACCTCCAAAGCATCAATCATGGTCTGTGTTAACAGTATAAAACTAGGTTTTAGAGAACCAAGTACCATAGAATTTCAAAATTTTTGCTGTAGGCTGCCCTATCATTTACTTTTTTATGCCTCTTCTCTGTCAGAGGCATAATTAAAAATACCACAAATTTAGTTTTCAGAAATCTCTGGTGGTTATTAATCAAACTTTTAACTAGTCTGAGACAGATTGAATATTCACCATTCTCCTTCACATATATATCTCTCTCCCAGTGACTTTCTGACTACAAAAAAATTAGTAATCACTTGCTTTAAAATACAGAGGATATAACTTCCCTTTGCCATTTATCATCCACTAATCCAACCAGGTGGCATTGTTTGAGCCAAACTGCTGGCAGCCATAAATGCCACGTTCCATAAGCCACAAGCCCCTAACAGCCCCTTTATAGCTTAAACTCACCAATTTGCCCTACAAATTCAATTCTAATTCCTTGGTGCTCTAGTCTCTTCCCATGCTTCAGGGAGACGTTCACCTACCAAGGTAAAAAGAAGAAAAAAAAAAAAAGTTACATTTTTTCAACACTTTAATACATCACCTCAGTAATAAGGAAAACATATCAGTACATCCCTATGAAAACTAAGACCTCTTCTCAGTGGCTCTCCCTGAGCTTGAAGGCAGCCAAATCAAACAGCTGATTATAAAATTAAGCATTTCCAAGGCACCACTAAAGCATTCAAGAAAAATCTAATCATCCACAAGGTTGAATTGAATAACTAAGCCTGAAACTTCCAAGTCCCAAAATTAAGAATCCAAGCCAGAGCTTAAGCAGAGTTCAATAAGCCAGTTGTGATCCTCTTGCCATCTTTGAAGGCTGAGAGCTTCAAAGCATCTTCTGACAGTCACATTGGAAGTCCAAAAAAGAACTGCCACCAGATGCATTCCTTTCAAGTCAAGTGAGCTTCAGTCCCTTCCTCAGCAGATTGCAGCTAAATGTGGAAAAGTCAATGAAAAAGAGCAGATATTGAAACCTTCTATGAAGGCCTTAATTTATGACTTTGATTCTCACAAACAGACAAGAAAAGATTCCACAAGGGAATACTTTCCATGGAAACATTTAAATACTTAAGCATATATGATGTTTGCTTATGAGAACAGTGACGACCAAAGAAATTCCTGTACTTTAAAATCCAGTACATTGTCAATATCTGAGTAGGAAATAAACCACTTGAATAATCCATCTTTGGGTGAAAAGAAAGAGAAGGTAGAGGGAAGCTGTCCAATAAGTGACTGGTGTTCCAGACCTCCTCATCCCACTATGACTGTGTTAGTCAAAACTCATGAGGCACCTCTCAGGCATCACCAACACAAGCAAGCAGTGCTCCAGTGATCACAAGCTTCTCCCTCAGCCTCCTGAGTTTGAGGCCCATCTTGTGTGAGTTTCACATCCCTGGAAGGATCTTTCTAGAGAACCAAGACCTTTGCATGGAACAGTACCTCCAGAGCAGGAAGACGTGCAGTGACAACAGGCCAGCCAAGGTCAAAGTAGGCATTTACAAGTCCATCTCAGAACCCAGTACCCAGCTCAAGTTTTTGGTGGAAAAGTGCACGGTAACAGAAATATTCAGAGAGCAAAGATGACTCCAGTGAAACAGAACAAGGAGTTCCTAAGTGCAACACTGAATGTAGAGAAATCCCCCTGGCAATCTAAACTTCATGGTCTTTTTTCCAGTAAGAAAAACTCTTGTTGATTCAGCAGCCAGCCGAACTTCATACATTCCTCCTCTGATGCAATTCCAGAAACCACTTCAGGGCATGAAACACAGGGTTATCTTCGGGGTACACAAAGCAGGTTGACTGTGCCAGGCAAAGATTACTGTTACCTGTGTTGGATTGTGGATTTTGGAGTTCAAGGGGAAGGGGAATCAGAGGGATCCAGTTTGGAACAGTTTTCTCATCAGCAGCAACGACAGGATTGCACATCTTTGCACAAAAAGCTTATTCATAAATACAGGATGACTGGAAACAAATAAACAGCTACTGTTCAGTTTTATCAGCTGCCTGGATGATTATGGCTGAAGAGATCACATATAGCAAAACACTTTCCTCTTTGAATAACACCACAAGCTGAAAATGCAGATCCCATAGCCCTCCTACATGCACCTGCATGCCAGAATCAGTACAGTAATTAACAGTCACTTCTAAATAAATACATACCTTTCCTGAAACAGATTCTCCATCGTAGAAGAGAAAATGCTTTTCTACTTTACCATCTTCTGTTTTGATTTCTGCTGGTTTTCGTGTTTCAGCATCATTAAGGACAACATCGATCTCACAAACAGGAACGAAAAGGTTTCCAAGAAAACTCTGGAATAACAAGAATTGGATAAGTTACTACACAGTGGACACTCCATTTTAAATGTGATGTTTACTTGCAGCTGTGCACTGTACACTGGGGAAAAGCATTTGTGCTTCCATGAAGTTACAAATCCATTATGTAGAGACCCAAGAAAGAGTGATGACAAAGGACAGCTGTTCATCCAGCAAGTAACTGAAATCATGTCAGTAACAGGCAGCGACAGTTCTTACAAAATCTACCATTTATAAAAAGTACAGTGTAGTTACTACTACTCAAAAAAAACACACTAAAGCAAAGCAGGGTGAAAAGAAACAACAAAAGGGGGTATCATGCAAGGCCTAAAGCATCTCCCTGGTCAGGGAAGGGGAATAGGGACTTATTTGCTGCCTCTGCCTACACCTCTAGTTCTCTTTAACAAACAAAGAGAGCACGAGCAGCTTGGAGAGGCAGCAGTTCTTCATACAACCCCCTCAGCTACACAGCTCTGCCAGCACACAGAGAGGTGTTCCAGGTGTACCTGTAACACTGCTCCAGGCACAGTGTTTGTGCTCAGCTCACCACAGCATTCCCCAGGCTGCAGCTCTGATCGCCCCAAACACAAGACCCTACAAGAGATCATCCTTTGACCTCGCACAAACACTTCTTACAACGGGCTCCAAAACATGTTAGTGCCTCTATGGGAAACTCATCAAGATTAGTACAAAAGCCAACACTTTCCTCCTGAGAATTAGACACTAATCTGCTTTGATGTACTAAAGCAGACAACACTTCACTAATTCACGATGATTTGGGGGGGGGGGTTTGAGAAATTACATTATGTTCTCCACGAGAACATCTGTTTCAACTAGATAAATTTGGTATACATGAAACAGCCTGTCCTGGTTTCAGCTGGAGTTCATTTCTCCTAGAAATAATTTCTTCTAGAGTTAATTTGTTCCCAGAAGCTGGCATAGTGCTGTGTTTTGGATTCAGTATGAGAGCAATGTTGATAACACACTGAAGTTTCAGTTCTTGCTGGGTCGGGTTTATCCCAAGTCAAGGATTTTTTTGTGCCTCATGCTCTGACAGTCAGGAGGTGCACAAAGAAGGTGGAGGGGAGCATAGCCAAGTGATCCAAACTAGCCAAAGGGATATTCCACACCTTAGAGTGTCCTGCCCAGCACACAGACTGGGGGAGTTACCCAGAAGGGGCCAGTCGGGGTCTGGCATTGTTCAGCAGGTGGTGAGCAATTGTATTGTGCATCACTAATTTTATTTTTTATTATTAACTATTGTTATTATTATATTTTACTGTGTTTCAATTATTAAACTGTTCTTATCTTAACCTTCAAGTTTTACTTCTGCTTCTCCTCCCCATCCCAGTAGGGTGGGAGGTGAGGGAGCAGCTGCCTAGTGCTTAGCTCCTACTTGGGGTTAAACCACGACAGTCATTCTCACTTCACCAATTTAATATAAAACACTGAGTAAGAACACATTCCAGGACATTCTGGGGACCTGAGGTTTGAAACGTTGCATTAATAACAACAAGCCCAGAGGAAAGTTTGGTCTGAATGCCACTGCTCAGCAGCAGGAACACTTTGTGCTTACCCCTCCAAGCCAAGCAGAGACACTGCAAGCTGGAGCTATAGCATCCACACAAGACTAAACTTTGTTCAGACAGCAATCAGCCCTAATTCAATCCACAAAGATGTATATAACTAACTGAAACCCAGTTATATCCACTTCCCATTCTGAGGGGAAAGCAGCAGCAGCAGACGACCAACAAGGTGGTCAGATGTAAAACTGAACTGTCTTCCAAGTCTCTGCCAAGCACAGATTTGCACTGACTGCCAAAAAGATGATTTTTTTTTTTTTTTAAACACTGCACACCAAAACCATTACTGACTTTTGGCTCCTGGGGAAGAGCAGAAAAAAAAAAGTTTGAAGAAGAACTCTAAATTTTAGACTCTTTTAAACATAAAATGCTTTTGAGCATGGCCACATTTTTTCCTTAGAAACTGTACTCATTTCCCCGAAACTAAACAAGAGAGCATGGGGAGAGCACGCCACCTCTAAGCAAACAAAAGGATGCTCTCACAGTACCTTCCAACTCTGAAGCTGCACCATAATTAACAGTCAGCCAGACCTAACACTGGTAACATCACTTCTCAGGAGGCTGTGAGCACTTCAGAGCTAATCTCGAAGGGGGGCAGTTGATCTCCTCCAGGGAGGACAAGAACATACGGAATAAAGAAATCAACAGCTGGTATCTCCCCCAGTTGCTGTCGAAGATACCGCTGCAGGGAAACTATGCAAAACAAGAAGTATTTTAAGAAGCCACCATACAGCTTATTATGTTACAGCTTCGGAGAATGCAGACGGAGAACTGGGGTTTTCAGAAACTCCTGTTTCCGAGCGTTCGGGCGCCTGGCTGTGCTGTTGGGTTTATGCAGAAGACAGACGCTGAAAATGCTGCTACATCGGGGCTAAAACCCCACAGCACTGAGTCCTGAGTGAGAGCTGCCCTGAAGGGCCCGGGGGGCTCCGGCAGCTGGCACAGGGTGCAGACACCCCAACCTCAGCTTCATCCCGAGCTCCGAGCGGCTTCTGGCCCCCCAACAGGGGCAGAGACACGCGTCGGGGAACACGAACACCCCAGAAACACACAGTGGATCGATCCAGGGACTCTATGACACGTATTTTTTTACTCCCCGTTAAAAACAGCTCTCGGAGCACGCCCAGCGCTCCCGCCGGGCACAGCGCGGCCGCCCTTCCTGGACGGCGCGATCCCGAGGGATCCACCCGTGTCCCGGGACTATCCACGCGCCTTCCCCGGCCCAGCCCCGCACCGGCGTGGGCACCGGGCACCTCTAACCCGTAAACAGCACTAAAACACCCCCAAACCCTCGCTTTTCGAAGGACGGAGGGGGAGCGGGAGGCACCGCCCTGCCCAGGCCGCCGCCGCCGCCTCAGGCGATGGCAGAGCGGCGCTGTCCCCCCCGCCCCGCGCTCCCCATGGTACGCGCCCCCTCCGCTGCCCCCCCCGCACTCACCATGGTACGCGCCCCCTCCGCTGCCCGCCCCCCCGCACTNCCGCTGCCCCCCCCGCACTCACCATGGTACGCGCCCCCTCCGCTGCCCGCCCCCCCGCACTCCCCTCCGTGTCCCCAGGGCCCGGTCCCCCCGCACTCCCCATGGTACGCGGCCCAGCCCCCCCGCACTCACCATGTTACGCGGCCCAGCCCCTCCCGCACTCACCACGGTACGCGGCCCCCCCGCGCCCCCGGTCGCCCCGCACTCACCACGGTACGCGGCCCGGGCCCCCCCGCATTCATCATGGTACGCCCCCCTCCCCCCCCGGTACTCACCATGGTACGCGCCCCCTCCGCGGCCCGGCTCCCGCGCGCACCAGCACCAGCGCCCCCGGCCGCGCGCCCCTGGTCATGTGACCTTACGGCCCGCTAGGCCACGCCCACACCCCGCTGGGACCACGCCCCGCCGCACGTGACCGATCCCCCCCGTACCCCTCCCGCTCCGTGCCCTCGCGGAGAGGGCGCCGCCTGGCGGCCAGGAGGCGGCAGCACTGGGGGGCTCCTCAGGAAAGCACCGTTCTGACAAACCTGTTTTTCGCAGGATTTCGTGGGGGGATTTACGGGATACGCGATTAGCTGAGTGTTGTAAAAGTGCAGAGGGTTGGAATTCATCCCCACAGACCACGATGACCTCCCCACAGAGCAGGCTGCGCCCCCATCGCTGTTGTTCCCCCCCGGGGTGGCTGCCACACACACACACACACGTAAAAAGCCAGTTCAGACTGAACAACAACGTTTTCAGTGAGTGAAAGCAGTAAAGATCTTAAGGCAAGGTTTTTATTGATGGGGAGTTGGTTTAAAACCGCTTCGTGGCTGTCGGGTCAGGCTCTGGGGAGGACTCGGCGAGGGAGCAGGACGTGAGGGACGTCTCAAGCCCTACAGGAGCAAATCCTCCTCCGACAGCTTCTCCTTCAGCTTGGTGCCTCGAAGGCCCTCCAGGAAGACAGGCAGCTTCGCCTCGGAGAAGCTGTCACTGTCACCAAGCCCTGATCCAGAGGCTGGCTCTGCTCCCACCATAGTATTGGACCCAGAGCCAGAATCCTCATCGGAGAGAGGAAATATGTCACCCAGCTCCTGGTATCGCCTCATCCTGAAATGCAGAGAGGCATTTTTACATTATACATGAACATACCAAAGCCTCACAGTACCGTGGGCGAGCCACGCTGTAACAGGACTGTCAAAACAGGAATAATGGGCGGGTTTGGGTGCTGGCTTTAATGACAAATATGTTTCAAATGAACTTACAGGGACGGGTCTGCCATGGGCGGAAGGATCCTGTTGGCTCCACCAGTGGGCAGGTAAAACCAGGGCCCCTTCTCCTCGATGCAGTTGGCAGACCACGAGTCAGGGCGGCATCTCACCCTCTTGTACCTTGCCCTCTGCATCGGAGCACCTGATGGAATCAGCCACGCGTTATTCACCAGGACCAGGGTGTTATTCACCAGCTCCTATTAACTTTACGAGCAACTAATTTGTGTGGCCCTGATTGCTCAACCGCCGAAAACTGAAGTAACCCCGAAGACTTTTCTTAAAATGGCTACTGATATCCTAAGTGACATCTTTGCCATCAGAGACATCATGCACATCTCACACACAGCACCAGGAAGTGCATGCAAAATCCTGTGGGAAACCACTGCCATCACAGCAAGGCTCATGGGACATGGCACGGGGACCTGTGGTCTTGGCTACCTGCAGCTCTCCTTGAAGCTGGTGGAGGTATGTGAAAATAATGTGAAAATCTCTGGGGACACAGCACCCGGCAGAGAGCTGGCTCATGTGGTCTCCCTTCCTCTGTTGGCTCCAGCTCTGCCCCTTCGAGTTCAATGGGCTGAGTTTTGGTGGGGAGGTCAGAAACTCGAGGTGTGCCTCAGGAGCAGATTTGGGGTTTATGTAAGCTCTCAGAGCACGTTTCCAGAGGAGACACAGTTTGGGTTTCTCCTAGGCACGACAGGGTTTTGTAAACCAACCATTTTAGCTCTGGTGCTCCCCAGGTACCTAATTCGGGCTGTCAGTGGTCTTCAAAAAATACCAAAAAGCTAAAATAAGGATCACACAGTACAGATAAAAGCAGTGGCATTTTGTCCTTCCCCTCAGTCTCATTAATTAATTTTCCCTGAAGCCTCCTGGTGCATTCTCCACCTGTTGGCACTTTATCTATTTTTTTCTCAGCTTCTGTAATACTGTCATTTCTCTGTAATTACACTTTTCTACTGCCCTATATATTTCTATAATGTCCTGCATGACTTTCAGCTATCTCCTACACTGTTCTGTAAGAGAAAAAATATTTCACGGGTGTAATTTCCTGCTGCTTTTACAGCGTGTTCCTTTTTCATACTTATTTTCTCCTCCTAGCATATTATTGAGGAGGTTTTTTATAATAACAATGGCAACAAAATGAACAGCTGCAGCTAAAAAATTTGCAAATAAACATCTTAAGAAAAGCAGGCCATAGTCCCTCAAAGATCAGCCTCCAAGTAGTAATACATAATAACAGCCTATCACTGTCACAGCCTTTGTTTATGGACAAATTATACTCTACATGCTTGAAAAGCATTCTCTCTCATGAGAAATAAATCCACAGGGCACATATCATCATAAATCAACATTTCCTTTTTGTAGTTTTAGTGCTGTGTGTTGTAATATTGTACCAAATAAACCGTTTAGTTTCGTCATACTTACAATTAACTTCCTTTCCCGCTCCCCCCAGAAAGCAGAGTTATGACATGGGAACTGTTACATACTTTGTCTGTAACTACATGACTGAGTAACAGCAGCAACCAGATAAGTATGAAAGGGACATTCAGAAAAATGCATATTGAAATATATAGACTGAAAATATACACACATCCAGCAACATATTTTATCAAGACTTTTCTCATAAGGGCTGGGACATTGAAATGCTCCACTTGCAAAAAAGCACCTTTTCTTACCATTCTCCCTCCAGAAAATTAAATGTTAGCAAAACAGATTTTCTGAGTAGATCTCATTACCCCAAAAAGAAGGCCAGTTTGAAAAATTCAGAGGCTGCCTGCTTGGCCTACACTGCATAGCCCAGAAAGAGGATTACGGAGAGAACAACCGCCCCGTTTTACCTTGTGCTGTGTATCCCACAAAGAGGATTAAACAAATAGCCAGGAAAATCCTCCCGTTACATCTGATAAGGAGCTGCATTTTGGCTGGCATCCCTCTGCTCACAACCAGCCTTCGCCACTGCTTCACACTTCAGAAATACGGCGGAGCGAGGAGATCGACTTTGAGAAAAGGTTTCCAAAACCCCAAACCCAACCCATAACCTGCGTCACCACTTCCTGACTGACGAGAGCGAGACATGTACAGAAAAGCCCAGCACTCTGGCCTCCCAGCCTTCATCACTCCAAATGAAAAATCCCCCCTGCCCTCATCCCCAGCTGTACCTGAGGAGAAAAGCAGACCCGGGACCCACCAGCTGGACTGAAGGCACTGCTGCCGGCAGCGTGTGACCCAGTGTATCCCACTCAGAGGGCTCCAGGGCATTTACTGTTTCCTCCAGAGAGAAAAAGCAGTTCTTCATGTTCCCTAATTTTCAGTCAACTGCATTTTTGCATTGGCACTGGCAGTGCTTTTCCCTGCCTCAAGCCCATGCCAGCCCACCAGGAAGGTTAGGAGGGAGCTACTTGCAGTCAGTGCGTGTTTCACCGACTGGGGAATCATCTTTTTCCACAAGAGTAAATTATCTCTGGAGTCTCATGACAGTTTTGGGTTTGTTTTTATTTGAAAACAGGATTTACATATTCACAATAGAAGTGAGAAAAATGCATTAAGCTAGAGAATATATTCTGGTAGAGGTGTGTCAGCTCCTTTCTGGAAGGGCATAGTTGATTTGCTTGGCCGGATCATCATCGTGTGGCATGAGCACTCCGTGGAGCATGACAAAAGGTTTGGACCACATGTGGCTCCCCAAGGAACCTGTCTGGAGAGCCACGGAAGCCCTTTTATAGATAGACAAATGGAAGCTGCTTCTCACCTGGCTCGACCCTTTTGCTTGCTTTCTGGTTGTGATTAATGCAGGCTTGAGTTCGCTTAAGAATAAATTACAAACAACAATGTTATCAAAGCACTGGGGGTTTTTCTCAGTCTGCTGGATTCACTGGGGCATAGGCATGTGGGCCTGACAGGCTGCAGCACTTTCAGTGTAAGTTGTCTGTGGTAAATCTGTTTT